CTCAGGCCGTTCTCAGGCGACTGCTGAGTGGGCAGGGCTGGGGGCACCACAGGGAGCATTTCCACAGGGCCCAGACCCGAGGGTCTTGAACACCTTAGGGTCTCCCGCCATCCCCCACTGAGACGCATACATCTCTCCCTTTCTCTCCTGGAGGCCATCCAGGGTGCACCTGCTCTCCCAGCCACTGTCTTCCAGCGCCCGTCCTGTTCAGAGGCAGCTGAGCCCTCACACAGACCCCTGACCGCAGAAGGGGTCGCACCAGCAGCTGCACCTGGAATGACTGGGGTTCCAGGGAGCAAGAGCATGCCAGGGGACCCCCTCAGGATTCAGATGAGGACCACCCTGTGCTCCTGGGGGAGGATCAGGCCAGAAAGACAGGTTCCGACTCACTCCTGGCACCAGTGCACGGAGTGAGTCCTCGCAAGGACCTAGGGAGCAGGAAGCCCCATCCTTGTTTGAAAGATGGGGAATTCAAGGTCAGGCTCAGCTGTGAGCAGCCCAGGCCTGCAGGGCGGGCAGTGCCAGGACCGAGCCCATGCCATGTGCTCCAGCGCCTGGGACCTTCACTGCCACGGGCTCAACAGCGAGGCTATGGAGAGGCTCTCACAGAGGCCTGGGAGGGTGCCAACATGCGTCTGTTTCTAGGCTGATGGGTGGGTGAGACCCCAGCGGCTGGGACAGGGCAGGCCTGTGGGCAAGAAGGCAGGGACATGGCAGGGCACGGCCTCCCATTGCACAGGAGCTGCCCAGAGTCACGGGACATGTTGGAGCCATCAGGGAGCTTTGAGCCCAGTGATTTTCCCTAAGCAGCCCCATTCACTCAGATCTGTTCACTGTGCAGGGTGTTGTGAACGGAGCCACTGGCTGGCTCCTCATTTGCTGAGCTGCTGGCTTCTGGCTATTTTTTCCAGCTATATTGAGAAAAATAATTGTATATATTTAAGGTGCACGCGTGCTCTTTTGATGTAGTTCACACTGTGAAACCATAGCCACCACCAAACTCACTGGTGACTGTCACCTCCCACAGCTGCCATTTCCTTTTGCAGTTAGAACACTCAACACCCACTCCCAGCAAACCTCAGGTACAAATACAGTGTTAACCACAGTCACCACAAACAGACCATGGCCACCTTGAACAGATCACAGCCACCTTGAACAGATCATAGCCACCATAAACCAACCACAGCCACTGTGAACAGCCCACAGCCACCACGGACTAACCATGGCCACCATGAAGCAACCATGGCCATCACAAACAGGCCACAGCTACCACAAACTGATCATGGACACCACAAACCAACCACACCCACCACGAACCAACCACAGCCACCATGAACAGCCCATGGCCACCACAAACAGACCACAGCCACCTTGAACAGATCACAGCCACCACGAACTGACCACAGCTGCCACAAACCAACCACAGCCACCATGAACAGCCCACAGCCACCATGGACTAACCACAGCCACCAGGAACCAACCACGGCCACCACAGACCATGGCCACCATGAACCAACCACGGCCACTATGAACAGCCCATGGCCACCACAAACAGACCACCATGACCACCATGAACAGATCACAACCATCATAAACCAACCACAGCCACCATGAACAGCCCATGGCCACCATGAACCAACCACAGGCACCACAAACAGACCACAGCCACCTTGAACAGATCACAGCCACCACGAACTGACCACGGCTGCCACAAACCAACCACAGCCACCATGAACAGCCCACGGCCACCATGAACCAACCACAGCCACCACAAACAGACCATGGCCACCATAAACAGAACACAGTCAGTCACCATGAACAGTCCATGGCCCACCATGAACAGACCCCCAGAGTTCATTCATTCGGCACAACAGGAACTCTGTGTCCTCTGGCCAGCATCTCCCCAGGCTTCTCCACCCCAGCCCCCAGTGGCCACCGTGCTTGTTGGCATCTCTGACACCCCACATGCGTGGGGCCGTGGCTTTGCCTCTCTATGCCTGCAGTGATTTTACTCAGCAGGCCGTGGCTTTGCCTGTGGCTGATTTTGCTCAACACTGTCCTCCAGGCTCATCCGTGTTGTCTCAAATAATAGGATTTCCTTTTTTACGAAAACGGAACAGTGCTCCATTGTGTGTGCGTCACATCGTCTTCAGGCGCCCATCCACTAACGGGCACTGCGGTCGATTCCACGTCTGGGCTGGTGAGCTCCGGAGGGCGGGCAGCTCTTCAGTGCGCCTGCTCCTTTCCCGATACCCACCCACAGTGGGGACGCCTGGCTCCAGCGACAGTGCTCTTTTTAATTTCTTGAGGAACCTCCATACCCCACACAGTTTTCCGCAATACCTGCACCAATTTACACGCCCACCAACAGCATGCACGGGCCGCTGTGCCTCCACAAACCCGTCTTCATAAGATCCAGAGAGAAACGGGCACCAACGTGAAGCCCACACAGCATCTCAACACACGCGTGGTCCGTCCATGCCTGGTGTCATCACCACACATGTGGGCCAGCAGCTGCCACAGGACAGACACTCACTGGCCCCGTGGGAGCACAGACCTCACCCCGAACACACCCTCCCTGAGCTGTGACTCTGGGCAGCTGCTTTCTCTCTCTGGGCCTCCTCCTTCTCTGTAAGGCTGGGACAAGGTTTCCTTATAGGACCATGGCTGCAATTCAGCCGGTGATGCTGGCGGATGGCTTTGGTAATGGCTGCCCCCACCTGGTGAACAGACCCACGGGGATCCTCCTGCCCCCAGTTACGTTAGGGAGGCTACAGGCACCCAGAGGAAACCCCAGCACTGCACCATGGGGGCCGTCCAGGGCCCCAGCACTGCATGGAGCGGCGGCTGCAGACTGAGGGCCACAGACGAGGTGGTCTTGGCTACGGCACAGGGTGCTGTGCAGGTGGGAGGTGGGCTCAACCACAGGCCGAGGTGAAGAGGACCACCAACTGTGGCTGCCTGCTGACGGGCGGAGGGACGCTTCTCTGCAGGGCGGTGCCCCGTCCTCCTCTGCCGAGTGACTCCGGGTGGCCTGTATGCAGCAGGCACCGGCTCCCCGAGGACACCTGTGTCCTGGAGGGTCACACCAGAGCCAAACCTCCCCACTCACTGGGCTGGGGGGAGGCGTGACCTGCACCAGCCACGAGGGAAGGGCCACAGCCTGGTCTGCCTGGAACACATGTTAAAAATGCCTAAAGGAGAACAAAAACGGTCGTCATAATGAATTCTTTCTTTTAAAATTAAAAACAACAGTCCTGACTGTACCACGGTGACCTCTCTGTGGAGTCCAAGTGTCTCGGGCCTTCTGCGTCTCCCCCAACTGGCCCCTTCTGGGCCCGAGGACAGACCTCCGAGGCCAGTAGGGCTTGCCCCGCCCTGCATTTTACTTTCTGAGAAAAGTCACCCACATATGGCAAGTTCCTCAAAGGTCCCCAGGCCTCTGCAGGAGCAAGGAGGGGCACAGTGAGGAACGCAGGCCAGGCTGACCCCGGCTGACGCTGGCACCGACAATGCTTCTCCCTCAATGCACCCTAAGAGGATGTGAGACACTAAAACAGAGCCTGCGGCAGGTCCCGGGGCTGATCAAAGAACCGTCAGGGCTCAGAAGGATGATTTCTCCTCTTGTTCACGGTGGTCCTGGCTTTGCCTGGTCCTTCAGGAGGGAACTGCAGGATGGGATGGCCGGGGCATCAGGGGTGCGGAACCGGGGGGCACCCAGGGGACATAACCTCCCTTAAAGCAACCACCTGCCCCTGCTCACACCGGAGCCTTCCACGGTGCCCCAGAGCCAACCCCATAACCCCGGGCAGCCACCTGTACCTACTCATGCCCTCACCCAGGCTGGAGTACAGTTGTGCAAACAAATCTTATTGCAGCCTTGACCTCCGGGGCTCAAATGATTCTCCCCTCTCAGCCTCCCAAGTGGCTGGGACTACAGGCACACACCACCACACCCAGCTTATTAATTTTTTTTTTTCAGATATGAGGTCTTGCTATGTTGCCCAGGCTGGTCTCAAACTCCTGGGCTCAAGCGATCTCCCAGCCTCAGCCTCCCAAAGTGCCAGGATTACAGGCGTGAACTGCTGTGCCCAGCCAGTTCTTTATTTTAAAATTGGAAACTTTAGATGTTTATTCATTGCCATTGGTAGCTAAGGTCTGATTCAATAAAATTCACAAAGATGCTTATTTTATGAATTATTCATCAATAGTTGGCATAAGTACCCACTGGAAAATATAATTAGGACAAATCTCTTGAAAACGAGTACTCCATTCTTAGAAAAGCATCAACAAAACCCAGGCTATTTCCTCCCCATGTGGCCCCTTCTCCAAGGACCTTACCCCAAAGCTCCAGTTGTCAGGACGGGGCCAGTGTGGACCAGCAGCCCCTGAGCCCCGACCAGACCAAACGCACCCAAACCTAAGACCACAGAGGCTGCCCAGCCGGGTCCACAGGCTCGGCCAGGGGCCTCCCAAGTCCCATCTGCCTAGAGAGGGCAGCTTGTCACGCCTGGCACCACGGGTGGCCCCGCTGTGGGGACAGCAGTGGCCGGGTGTCTCCTCCTCTGAGGAGCTACAGCCTCTCCACCAGCCAGACGTGGGCGCTGCCGTCATTTGTCCACACAGCCTGTCTATGAGAAACCTCGAACAAAGGAGCCAGTGGAAAGGTGATCCCAGCCTTCCGGGACCAGCACAGATGGTCCCTCACAGGCCAAGGGCAGAGGCGGCCCCAGTGCTCACCAGGGACCCCAGGGCCATGGCCCTACACCATCCATCCGGCAAGGCCTGTGCACACCTTCCCTGCCAAGGAGCAGGGCTCCTCCCGTATTGGAGGCACCTGTCCCAACATCCATCCCCGGCATCCCCCAGCCCCAGGCTCCTGCCCCAGCAGCCTCCGAGGATAGCGTAGGGCCCAGAACGTCCGCCCCGGCCCCGTGTCCCCACACGGTCGCCCCACAACACCTTCCAGGGAGCCGAGGACCCACCCGTGCCCCACACACCTGCGCCAGCCTTCAGCAGCAGCCACAGCGCCCAGAGGTCCCGGCACAGCAGTGACAGCCGGCTCACCGTCATGCTGCCCACTGCAAGTCAGGAGCCCCCGACCCGGCTCCTGGAACGCCCTTCCCAGGCACACAAAGGACGGCGCAGCACCGGCACCATCTCGGCCGCGGAGCAGGGACGCCACACCTTCCTGGGTTTGCTGCGCAGACCTGGCCTCTGCAGGGCAGCCGGCCGGCTGCTCCTCCCAGGGCCTCCGATTTGATGTCCCTGATTAAGGAGCGGCATCGGCTCACTTATCCCACTGCAGGCAGCTTAACTGTTGCAGTCCTGGCGACAGCTGAGCCCCGGCCGGGGAGGTTTCAGGTTCCTGGTGTTGCTTGTCTAGACCCTCCCTGCAGGGGCCCCATGCTCTGCCAAAGTCCCATCCACTGAGTGGCAGGGGCCTGGGCTGGCGGGGGCCGTGCTTAGCAGAGATCCGTCCCCTGAGGCAGCCCCACAACTATGGGGACTTGGGCCGAGGTCCCCAACCCCTGAGCCAGCCCCAGAGCTGCAGCGACCTGGGCTGGCAGGAATGAGCTGTCCAGAGAGTATGCTGACCCAGGGGGCCGAGCCTTCTGCCCTGGCAACACATGCCCATGGGGAGTTGAGCCTTCAAGCGCCCGGGAGGCAGCTGCGTCTTCTGTTCTCGTCCGTCCGTGGTCACCGAGTTCCTTTTAAAGCTGTATGAGCAGGGGCTGTTCTCAGAATACCCCTGCACCGAGAACACAGAAGGCAGCTCCTGGCTGCCTCTCTACTTTTCCAGGGCCCGGAGGGGGATACTTAAATACGACACTTGAAAACTGGCAGTCCCCGGGGGGCTCCCAACTGCTGCCCTGGGTGGGAGTCGCACAGAGAGCTCGTTCAAACTCAGGTTCTGTCCCCGACGAGCTCTCAGGTGACCTGAGACCACTCGTCCAGGCCCAGAGTTTGAGCAGAAAAACCCAAGAAGCTAAGGGGACCCACGCACATCTTCTGAGAATGTACCCAGTCCTGGAGTCAGCACGAGCCAAGAAGGACTGGGAGGGACGCTGGATTTTGGTGGGACCCCAGCCTGCCATGTCCCTGCTGGCCCTGGCCTCTTCCGGCGCCTCTCTCTGCAGAGCCTCACACCTGCACTGACCCCTGCCCTGCATGTGTCCAGCACAGCACAGCCGGCCCTCCAGGCTTCAGCTTCTCCCACTGGGAACACCAGCCTCTGGGGCTGGCTGACTCGAATGCCAGACACCTGGCTCCTGCCTCTGGAAACCTCGGCTCCCTCACGTCCAAACGCTTGCTGGAGGGGAAAGTGCGGCTTCACCAGGCCCTGCCTCTGGGAATATCAGCCATGGACGCTTTTCTTGTGGCCATGATCGCACTGACAAGCACCAAAGCGAAGCCTAGAACCTCACCCTTCCTGCTGGGCACCCTGCGCACACCTAGAGGAGAGACGCCTGAGGGGCTACTGCTTCCTCCACACCTGGGTTCTCTGAGAGTCAGCCTCATCCCTGGGGCAGGAACGTCACTTCTGTAAGCCCCCCTGCAGCCCTCATGCCCGCCGAGGGGCTGTGACATCCATCCATGATTATTTATGTCTTCTCAGCCCAGCTGTCCTTCCCTGTAAGCTTGGACCTGGGGCTGGCTGGTGCCCATGGTATGGGCTGCCCCCGAGCCACAGCGAGTGTGGGCACATTGACCCAGACCTCCCGTGTCTGGGATCTCTCGTGTTCCTACCTTCTGCCGTCAGAACACATCCCAGATAAGCTCTCCCCGGAACACGAGCCCCGGGGGGGAGGCCACCGCGTCATGGCCCCTCACGCCATCACCATGGCACCAGCTGATGCACCTGCCACCCGCACCTCAGCCCTGCCTCCGCTCTGGGGCCAGGCGGCATCTTCATTCCCAGTCCACTCACCACCCATGCCTCAGCCCTGCCTCTGCTCTGGGGCACGCCGGCGTCTTCATTCCCGGCCGACTCTAATGTCCGAAGCATGTTTTGCAGGCACAACTCCTACATCACCAGCCGGCAGGGGCATAGGAGCACATCACGGTGCCACACAGTGGGTCCTCCTACAGCTGAGCACGGTCCAACGCGTCCTCACCTCCAGCTTCCAACCCCCAACAGCAAAGCATGCCCAGAGGCATCAGCCTTGGGACACACGTACCAAACAACCCCTCTCCCACAATGTGCTCAAGGCCTGCAGAGACCCCCGAGGCCCGAGGCCCACCTCCTCCCTCGGTGGTCCCAGCACTGGAGGACACGCAGGGCTGGGATGTCTCAGGCAGCCACACAGCGGCCGATGCAGATGGAGTGAGCAAAGATCAGCCGAAAAAGAGGACTGTGTTCTGAACAGGAGGCTCTCACAGACAGGCCTCAGTTTTTAAACAGAGGGACAGTGAACGGTGCCAGAGGCTGTCCTCTAAGGAGAGGGCGCCGTGTGGGGAAGGAAGGGCCCCTGGTACAGATGCAAGGACCTTGAGAAATCAGCTGCTCCCTCTTCTGTGCATCTCCCCCGGCCCCCGATGTCTTGTCACGCTGAAGTTTCTGGTGGGCAAAGGCCATGCGCCTTCATGGTACACAAGCAAGGGGGCCAGCCCACAGTCACCACAGGGCAGACCCAGGCGGTCTGGCCCCAAGCCAGGGGGGACCTGGCCATCTTTAGGAGGGACTGGCTCATGATGGCCCTGTTCCAGGGAGGGCTGGCCCTGCTCTGTGCCCGTGGGGGTGCCGCAGATGATCACAGTAACACCCACCAGAGGCCGGAACACGTGACCCGAACCACACATGGGAAACCATCCCGGGCTCATCGCTGTGGCTGCGGCTGCTCACCCACCGTTTCTCGCGCAGTCCAGGAGACTAAGGGCTCCCCACCCACAGCTCTTGACCCTTCCAGCTCCCTGCTGACCGAGTCAAGGCCAAAGGCGTCCCTGCAGCTTCTCTGGGGGGGCTGGAAATGGGAAACAGCTTTACTCCAAGAGCCGTGGGAGCTCGCGTGGCCTCAGGCTGGTTTCTGTCCAGTTTCCGAATCACAAAAGCGATCCCAGGCACCTGGACCTTCAGCCAGAGACAGTGCACATGAAACCACACCCACAGCAGAGGCCTCCATCGGCATAAGACAGAAGCGACTCCACACCCGGGATCGGCAGCGCAGTAGAGAAGCCAAGTCCAGAACGATCGATGCCAGACACATGGCTGTTCCCCAGGAATGCACATTTCGGACACACGGCCGTCCCGTCCCCCAGGAACGCACGTTTCTTGTGATTTCTTGCAGGCTTCCCTTTGGTGTGATTTCAGACCCATCCTGGGAGCCCAGTCAGCTCCATGAATAACGTAACCAATCACCTGGCCTCCTTGGTGAGGCCTCCAGGACCCTCCGGAACCCTCCAGAAATATCCGAAGCCCATTTTCCCAACAGCCCCGGCCAGGTCTATGGCTCGCAGCCTCCTCACGCTTGGCCTGGCTCTGAGCTCCCCCTTCCCCGACACGCCAGGGCCCTGGGTTTCTAGTTGTTATCTTTTGTGTGCTGCTTTCCAACTTTGTTACACATTTAAGCTGTGCCTTCCCAAGAACAGCAGTGAGGAGATTTCATGCTTTATTTGACCCTTACCTTTTATTTGTGTGTATGTGCTTTACAAATGTAGCTAGAAATTACATGAATGACCGTGTCTAGGAGCTGTGCTGTGTGTGGGGGTTCGGAACACAGGATGGAAAGTGGCCCAAACACCGCAGTTTAAGCCCAGCAGGCACCCAATGGACCCCGGGGCCCTCAATGAAATGCAACACAAAGGCCCCGCACACATGGGCTCACGCAGGGCACAGAGCTGACGCGCCGGCTTCAGAGAGCCGCTGCTGCGGGCAGGCCCAGCACCTCGGCCAAGAGCCCATTCCTGCCCTGTCGGGATCAGCTAAACAGGAAGGAGCTCCCTGCCTGGAGAGGAAACCAGACACGCCAGCCCCAGATCGGTAGATCTGAACAATGAGCCTCACCACGCTGGGCCCTGCACCTTGGGGACGCCCAGGGAGCCTGGGGCCCTTGTCCAGCAGGAACTCGACCGATCGCTGCCCACCCCCAGGAGCTGTGGGGGTGACGGCACCAGGTGTGACGGTCGCTTCCCACCCCCAGGAGCTGTGGGGGTGACGGCACCCGGTGTGACGGTCGCTTCCCACCCCCAGGAGCTGTGGGGTGACGGCACCAGGTGTGACGGATGAGGGTGGAGTGGCCAACCTGGACGGGCAGTTGCTTTCTCCTCCTCCCGGATGGACAATTTCATCTTACAAACCTGGTCAGCCCTGTCTGGAGCCATGAGGCTGTGGGGTGGGACCCGCTGCACAAAGCAAACAGCTAAACCTTAAGTCAAATAAAACACCCTGTAGCAGCAGACGCAGAGGGTGCGGCTCACCAGCTGGCTGGGGCTGAAGGGACAGTGGACGCGGGGCAGGGGTCAGCGACATCCATGCCCCCGACTCTGCTGTAAACGCACAGGTCCCGACTCCGGGTGACAGGGACGTCTACACAGGTATCTGCAGGAGCTGCCCGTGTAACACTGCTCCAAGAGTCTGCCTGCCCGCTCCTCGGCCCCCACCCCGCGCGGGGCGTCAGCAGCACCCCCATCAAACCTGGAAGCGCAGATGGCACCTGCTGCCTGGGTTCAGTGCAGCCGAGAGAGGGCAGCGTGTTTTCCTGGGCCAGACCCACAGTGGTCTTGGTCTCAAGACTCACCTGAGGCTCTCGATGGGAATTTGGGGCTCTGGGTCTGCCGCCAAGCTGGGAAGTCACTCTCCCCAGACGGAGACACGAAGATGAGATGATCTCAGAGTCCCCCGGTTCATGGGAAGCAGCCGCTCAGCTGGGAGAGCCGTGCAGGCGAGGGAGGCCCGGGGCTGGCAGCAGCACCTGCCCAGGCCCAGCTCCCGCAGCTGCCTGGCCACACCTGAGACAGCGAGGGCGGGACCGGCCCAGCGGCTGCCAGGGCGCGTCCAGATCTGTGCAGGAGTTTCATGGGGGTGGCAATGGCAGAGAAAGCAGCTGAGGATCCCAGGCAGGGGCTCGGCTGTGCACAGGCACAGACGACACAACACAGCCCCCGTCCAGATGCTGTGGGCAGCACTGCCAACCATCAGGACTCAGGAGAGATGAGGGGTGGCACCAGGTCTCCACCCACAGGGCTCACCAGCAGCTTGGACGCCATTCTGGGCCATGAACCCATTTGAGGAGGACAGTCTCGGGACCATTGGGTGCATCCGAGAAGGGCA